AACAGTGTGAACAAGCAAAACTCTTAAAATGTATATGTTCAGTTTATTAAAGGAGAACTATGGGGTCAGTGTTTTTCCCCATAATTCTCCTTAGGGTAACGGGAGAACACAAACTAGCGTCCTCCCGTTACCCTAAGCTCAGTATACCGCGAGCTACCGCTCGCGGTATACAGAGACGCCGGAGCGGATCCCGACTTAGATGACGGGATCCGCCTAGCTGCGTGAGTGACAGCTGGCTCTGCTTATCTAGAGGCAGAGCCAGCTGTACCCGCCCCCTCCCCCGTCCGTTCCGCCAGTCAGCGCTGGCAGATCGGAGTGGGGAGAGGGGAATCCAGCCCCTCCCCGTCATGGCAGAGAGCCGTGACAGGATCGAGAGGTGAGCGAACCCCGTATGTGTTCATTCACCTCCCGATCTACTGAGCCGACCTGTGACAGTCTCATTGTCACAGGTCGGCTAGAACTATGAAGTGAGTGAAAAGCACTCACCTCCATAGTTCTCCTTTTTAATAAGCACACCCAGTAATCATGCAAAATAAAATAGTTACCTTCTTAAAACGCAACTCTAGAATTTTTTTCTTTACATTTTGGATAGAGTAGGGAGGGCTTATACCCAGATAGCAAGGATAACTTGCTACAAACTTGGGATGGGGTGAAATTGTAATTTTGTTAACTTGCTGCACATATTCCTGGCAAGTTGTAGACTTGCAGAACACTTGCACCACAAGTTCTAGTTGACACTTTTTGAATTTGTAGCAAATTTGCTTGGCAAGTCTACAGCAAGAGTCCTGCAGGTCTCAGCAAGAGCTCTGCAAGCTCGCTGGTCTGGAGACTTGCAATGCAGACTTGCTGTAATTGTGCAACAAAATTGTGAAGCTTGGCAAGTCTGCAATAGTTTAGCAAGTCATTTTCAAACTTGCAGCACAATTTCTTGCTATCTGGGTAGGGCACAGACAGCTATAGGTACATTCGCCAGAGGTTCTAAACATTTCCCACTCTGTAGAAAAATTAAGGAAATGTTTGGCTAAAGCCCGGCTCTAAGCTGCTCATAGACTTAAAAAGGTGATGTGGGATGTACAAGAAAATATTCTGCTGCCTTCCATGTCAATTATGGAAGTATTGAGAATCATCGAGCAATCTGATTTTTATCTGGTTATCACAGGAATTTTTACTAAGGAAGTTTGTTAACAAACACATGGGGGTCTATTCACTAAGCTGCCGTAGGCAGCCGAGTGAATGACCGACCTAAAGCGAAGTGAGTCGAACTCTGTTCGGCTATTCACTTCAGGCTGGTACGGCTGAAATCAGCCGTAGAACGGGTCGCTTTGCATAAGGAGTTCGACTCAGCCGATCCAACATGTGGATCGGCTGAGCCGGACCTCCGGCAGGCTACTCGCTGCTGTTCGGTCTATTCTCATAGATGCCGAACAGCAGTGAGTGAATAGCCGAATGCCGCCGAGCGGCAATCGGCTCGGCTGTTCTGCTCAGTCTCTCTGTGGGACCGAGCAGAACAGAAAAACAGTTAAAGTAGAAAAATGGAAAACGATTGTGCGGAGCTAGCAATGACAGCTAGCTCCGCCCAACAGTTTTCTATTG